GCTTCACTAGCAGATCGAGTATATTGGAAGTTACAACTGCTACGTCGCGACGCAGTTGACTTTGAATGCTGCGGCCTATGATGCACGGACACGGACACGACACGACACGGACACAACACGACACAGACACAAGACACGGCTTTTTTAAAAAATATAGGACACGGGTACGGTGCGGACATGGCAATACATTTTTTTTATATAGTGTATATATATTAATGTAATATCATATTAAAAATGACAAACAATAATAAATGAATGACATGATAACTTGTGTAGCTTATAATATAAAATATTTAAATACAAAATATCTAGTATAATCACAAAAATATAAGCAAATAATCACTTACTACAACATCAAGCATTCAAGCTTCAACTATTAGGATTAGCTTTAGAGGTTTGTTTTTGGCCTTCAATATCATCATCATTGAATATCACTACTTTCAACTCTGGTTCAACAAGAGAAAGATTTGTAATTGTGCAAAAAGAGAGGAGATGAAAATACCTTCACTGCCAAAGAGAAATAAAAATGAAAATATTCGATGAATGAGTATTAAATGCAGACGTTGATTTGGTGTTATGGATATGAAATAAGAAATTTAGTTTAAATCTCGCAAAATATAAGAAATTATACTTTAAAAAAATTATAAAATATTTAAGATACGCGTGACACGCGTGTCAAATTTATTTTTAATATTTTTTTAATCGAACACGTTTTCGGCGTGTCTGACACGTGTCGGAGTGTCAGACGAGTGTCGTGTCGGACACGGTGTCGGACACTGCACACCTCTTTGAGGAGAAGTGTCGGTGCATCATAGGCTGTGGCGCATAAGTAACAGATTTGGCGCTAAGGCGTGATAGATTGTGATGTCGCGACGCTTGAAGACAGTGAACACGGTGCTGCCATGATGATCATTTTGAAGCCGCGACACTTGAAGACAATGAACACGGCGCTGCTATGTCCAAGTGCGGCGCCTCGATGATGTGGAAGATGTCGTGACGGCATTGAATTATCGGACACCGTGGAGCTGGTATCTACTATAAATTTTTTATCATTTTTTTTATTTTTCCTACACACAAACAATTAAATTGATAAAAACACAAATAAAATAAAAAATAATTTACGCTTATCAAATTCTCCCCAACTTAAACTCTTGCTTATCCTTAATCAAATAAAAATTCTACTATTTTGCATAATTAAATAACCAAAGTAAAAAATTGATAATTCCAAATTACTAAAGCTTTGAATTCTCTGATAGGATGGAAGGGAACTTGTTTACTCCTTTCCTTTGGGCCGCGCATAATAATTTTTTTTCTTTTTTCCTCATCTTTTTTTAGCTAAATCCTCATCCAAGGCATACCACAAGGACGAACAAATCCATATTACTTTTAATGTGAAACTAGCCTCCCAAAATAGAAATAGAAGATTTTAAAGAAGCAACAACATAAGTGGTAGACAACTTATAAGAGCAAATAGTTGGAGGATAAGAAGGAGATTGTGCAAAAGAGCACACCAAAATAATAGAATCAGTGGTTGATGGAGCCAGCAAACTCACAAAATAATAGGATTAATGTGGAAATTGGAATGAAGCCATAAAAGGTGAAGTCATTGGAGGTGAAGGAATTGAAGTCACTGGAGCTGAAGGAGAAGTCACTGGTGAATTAGAAGAACTCACCAAAGTCGAAAAGGTGAAGCAGCAAGAGGCAAAATAATTGAAGTCGTCGGAGCTAAAGTAGAAATTGGTGGAGCAGAAGTAGGAGCAGATGAACTTGCAGGAGCATCAATAAGAGCAATAGCTAGAGGTATGAGGAGTTCCACAACATCAAAAATCCTCATACTCTTCAAAAATGATGGCCAGATTCTAAGCCCTTCTTTTCTTAGGAGTCACTTTGAAGGTTCGATCCTCCAAAAACTTCATGCCCACAGGGTCATCAGTGATTCCATAAATAGTAAAAGCACCGAAAATAATAATATTCAAAACCTTTTTTAAATTATATGAAAAAAAAAAGATAAATAAATATAAAAAGTGACTTACTATAAAAATTCATATGCATGTCGGCAAGAGAAATGTATTGCTTCATGATAAAACTAGTGCCCTTCAATCGGAGGAGCATCGCAAAATCAACAACTCCCAAGAGAAATATTTATACTCTCCCTTGCAAAAGTAATCAACCTAACTTAATCAACCATCCAATCATCAATGTCATAGATAAAAAAAAAAATTAATTTCCAATCTCTATCCTTCTTCTCTAAACTACATATTTGCACATGGTTAAGAGAAAAATAAGACACATCCATCCCTTAAGACCTTAATAAAAAAGAGAAGAGAAAAAAGGATGACACGACATGGGATGTTCTTTTCACCCATATAAGAAACCATGATTACAATGTTCACAAAAGAATTTGACAATATTTGGGTGGAACGAGTCCAAAAATTAAAATGTTGACTATCTCTTAGCAGTAGCCTAGGTGTAGAGAGGATTCAAGTGGAGAGTATTGAAGTACATAAGAAGTCACAAGCCTAGTATAAATTGGCCTCTATAAAAACAAAACTCATCATTGTAGAGAGTATTGAGGTATTCGTCTTAATTGGGAAATCATACAATTAAATTTGCATTTTTTAGCAGTACCCCGGGTGTATCATCTTCATGAGAGTTAGTGTGATCATAGAGGTGTAAGTATGCTCAAACTCCTTTAAAGCATGAGGACTCTTATTCAAAGAAACATCCATCGAACAAAAGAGCAAGGCAGAGCCAAAGCATTCAGAGTTCAGAAATAGAGAAGGAAGAATAAGGAGAGAGAGTGTGTAGATATTGTGAGGAAAATGATAATATAAAGTGTTCTTAAGGCGTTAAGAGCTACTTAGAGAGAGATAGTAGGGCTCTCAAAGTGTTATGGGCTATTTATAAAGAGATTGCGGGCTTCTCAAGAAATGTCAAGTTGGTTTGATCATTTTGAATTTTAAAATTCAAATAAAAAATCTTTTCATCATTATAAATAAATCATAATAAAAAAATTAATGTTTTCTTGAATTTAAAATAGAAGCGAGATCAAAATAAATAGTAATTAAAATTGAATCACAAGCCAAAGTCAGCATAGAAAATAATAAACAAAGAGAAATTCAAAGGAAGTTCTTACACATATTTGCATCCAATGAGAAAGATGACTAGTTTCATATAACAAAAAAAAATCACGGGTAACATCTTTCTATTCGCCACTTAAGAAAATTAAAAAGCCGGGTCACACATTACATCATGAGGAATTGATCCATTTGTTAGATGTCGTGTAAAACGAACTCGCCACCATCTAAGAATTAGCTCAACTTAGATGATTCCACAAACTTGCAAGTTGAAACAACTTAAGCTTTCAAACCTTGGACTTCTCAGCATAAATCTCTGACTTTAATAGGAATAGTAGTGGAACAACCATCAATCGACCTAATTCTTTCCTCCAAAATTAATTCCCAACAAGTCACTTGCATTATTTTTTTTACATAAGGCTTACTATATTTTTTTGCTACTCCTTTCTCTATTGATCGCTTTGATTTGGCTTTTTTACTTTTTGGAGAATACCTTGAAGTAGCTCCTTGTTGGGAACATCATCGGCCTTGATAAAAAAAAATCTCAGTCATCAATCTTATGGAAGGATGATTTACAAAGAAGTTTGGAGGAACAAGACAACATAGCAGGCTAAACTTCAAGTGAATGAGCCCCGCTCATATTTATAGGCCAACCTCGATGCTAGTGTGAACCAACCAAATCAATGTCATTCTTAAACTAATAGATAAGTGTTGCTTTTATTGTGACAACTTATCAATAAAGTAAATTATGCAAATTCTAACTTTCAATAAAGTGATATGTTATTTAATTTTCTTGATCTTTTAGCAAATCATTTTTTTTAAATACAAAAGAATTGAGGAACAAACTGTGCATCCAGATATTTGGAGAGCCAGGCTTAAGCAAAAAAAGTATGGCTAAAGGCCACTGGGCGGAATAAAAGAGATAAAGATAATAAACTCATCAATGTTGTAGTATGCTCGCCAAAACCACAATGAACTCATCATGATCTTAGTGAACTTGCCAGGGTTACATTCAACTCACCATAATATATTGAACCTAGGCCTTAACTAGGCATGCTCACCCAAAAGAAGCTATTTGCCCCAGCTCAAAAACTACTAGGTTGCAATTCATTCAAACAAGCTGGTAGCTTAATCTAGTCAATTGGCAACTCCATGCAGTAAATCAGCGACTTCAACTATCAAGTTTAGGACTTCATCTAGTGATGTACTAAACCAATTGTCCTTATTCACTCCAATGTACTTTAGCCTACATGCCTCATGTACTCTGATATATTTTCTTATTTTTTTGGTATAACTTAAAAGTGTCTTTTTCTTTAGCATCCAGTGGCATAAACCTATAAGGGCCAAAGGGAGATTTTGACACACAAAGTCATTGGTATTATTGACAATCTAATGAAATCTTGGAGATTATCTCTCCATATTCTATTTTTCTCTCTTCCTACCTCTACTTTTTATTATATTTCACTTTAGAAATATCTGAATTTAACAGCAGCCATCAATTCAAAACTTCACTGAAATTTTGAATAGCTTTTTAACATCTCAGCAGCAAACCTGAATAATATTGGGCAATTGCCCCAAAACCCCTTGAATCAAATTATTCTGCTAATCAACCAGCTCTCATTCTTAGAGAAAATGAAATGCAACTTAAATCATGCAATAAATGAAGTCCACCTGTTGAGAAAAGTAACTATGACGTAAATCAACTTTAATTTGTCAACTTCATTTTACTTGGGCAACTTTAGCTCAAAACAAAAACAACAACAACAACAACAACAACAATAAATATTTATTTGAATTTAAATGTTTTGCTTAAATTCACTCCTTGTTATCACCCAGAATGTAGTAGGCTGAGAACATTTTCCAAGGAACTTGCTTCGATTATAATGTGTGATTAATTCAAAACTAAGCAGTGAGGACTCTAACCTTGCGCTGTTCCCTAATCAGAAACGCAAATTTAGGTATGTCGGGGACTGCCAGCATTTTGGGCATCAGATGGTTGCGGAAATGCCCAGGCGCCACCTTCACCGTCTCTCCAGCCTTCCCCAGCTTGTCGATCGTCTGAAACATCACAAACCAGCAAGAAAAATGAGAAACCTATAAATAGGAGAACAAGGAAAACATTGCATTTCATCTTAAGCTAAAGCTTCCAAAGCCTCACCGTGGTGAGGATGACCTCAAGCTTACGATTCCGGTATCTGAGGCCGTGGCCGGCGAAAAGCAAGTGATTGGTAGCACTGCCGCAGACAACGACCGGTCCACAGATGCAGCGACGGAGCGCGTGGGCCATCCTACGGCGGAAGCTTGTGCGTCGAGAAAGAGCAGGGGGTGTAAGCTTAACGTTGGAGTTGGGGTTGGGGCTGATATCGGGGAGTCAAAGCAGGGTGAATTTACTGCAGCCTAGTTATTTTTATTTTTTTAGCTACAATTTGCTTGGAAATAAATTTAATTTCTGATTCAAATCAGAATTTTCATTAGAGACGATTTTCTTTAATACTTTTTAAAGCAGTTTTAATATATAAATTAAAAGTTTTTATAATAAAAACTTTTAAGAAGCAATATAAAAGTTGTCTCAAATAGAAT